ACAGGCGACTGATGCGGATGACGGTGAAGACCAACGCAATGGCGATCACATGTCTAGTGCATCGCATAGCAAATGATTGGTTGCCTTTCCGTGCATTTATTCATTCAATTGTTAAGGGATTATATTCGTGTCATTTGACGACTTTATTGCTAATAGTTGTGTCTTTCGACTGAAATCTTAAATCAAATGAATTAATGAAATACTTTTGCATTGTTTGGAGGAATTGTTGAATTACAGTATATGGTTATGAAACGCGAGTGTCTTGTCATTAATTTCAAGACATCTGTAATATAATTTCAATTCATTACACAATTATAATTGTCTCATATTTTACGACCAATTGATAAGTATTTAAATGTGGTTTTAATGAATCGCTAATATTTTGTTAATCAGTTATTTGTGAATATTACTGAATAGCTTATTTAAATGTTTAATTTTTGCATTTACGATAAATGTTATTGATTTGAAAATTTTAATTATGCATAAATAACTTATTGAGAATGATACGGTATATCATATGCATGAAACAAATGTCACATGTGTTCATATTATCAATTTCATAGAGTAGTCTACTTTTCAATGAGTTTAGTATTCATTTAAGTGCACTTTTCATATAATTAGGAATAAACAAAGGTTTGACAATGAATTGAAGTATTTATAAAACATTTAGAGTTCATGTTTAAGTAATCTTTAGATTATCGCTTCATTCGGATATCACTTGAGAACTGCAGTAGAAATGCATTTTGAGATATATTGAATTACAATTAAAATGAGAACAAACCACCTTACAACTTGTTTTGACAATGATTTACTTTTAATCGTTTATATGTAAAATTTACAAACATTCATACGACAAAACTCATAGATCCTTTAATGATATATTTGGCCTCTTCATGTGTTTATGTCAACTTAAACTTACTATTTCTGTACATCAAATCAAATCAAAGTGAATGCGCGGACAATACTATGTATTCGTTATATTTATAGTAAGAATGTATTTAAAAGAAATTCACAAAAGACTACATTATATGTAAAAAGAGGTCAAATCCTATCTAAACACCGATTATCTCTCAATAATATTGATTTTAATTATTAGTATTAAAAATGATTGACATCTGTTTGTAAATTGTCATTAAATTCGTGATAAACATTAAACCAGAAAATCCTTTCCCAATGTTTTGACTGAAAATCGAAAATACATTATAAAATAAATATACAAAATTAATTCAAAGATCAGTGTGTTATTAACAAGAACATAATTTGAAGTATTTTTTTATTTACCATCTTTTGACACATTCACGACCTTTATATAGTAGTGCGACAATCATTTGATTGGACTCAACGCCAAACATTAGCTGCGATTCTGTGGTCTCTGAATAAAATTCTTTGGTTTTCAATAATGTTATCTAAAATGAAAGCCAAATGAAATACATTTGTATTGATACTAATTTAGAGTTTGAATTAAACCTCAGATTCTGTTTGCATCTCTTTATTCAAATCAATGGCAGTCTTATGAGTCTGTTCTCCAGCGATGATCAGAATAAGACAGAGCTCTCCACTGATGCCATTAGCCGTCGGCATTGAGCCCAATGTTTTCGGGACAACACTTGTCATCCAATTAAATGATAGGTCCATATCATTATCACTCGGAATTCCTGAGAAATAGTCCTCGGCTTTCACTGTCTATAATCAACAAATTTATTAACACTACACAGAATATTCTGTAACTAGAAATAAATATTGTAATCTTATAGTGAAAGTAATTCACATATAATTGTATATAAATTTAATATAGCCTCATTTATACCGTAGTTAATAGAGTTTAAATGTTATTTTAGTGCTGATGCATACAATTACCGAATAATATTTGCTTTAATCTTACGTTTGAGAATAGACTCCAATGCTGTTCCTCATCATTAAGAGTGAAGTCATAAATATTAGTCCAATTGTTGTTTAATACACAGAGATTGGCTTTTTTGAATTGATCTGTAATTAGATATGATTATTATGAATAATATAATATAATATGAACATTATAGATCATATAATATGAGTCGATATTATATAACTTATATATTATAAGAATATGATTGACTAACCCTCTAATCCTTTATAATTGGCGGAAAAGCACCCAAATGTGAGGTCATAACAGGATTCAATGGCCGGTTGTGTGGTACAGTATAAGAATATTTCAATGTTTTTGCAATCTCTGGATCGGAACTGTTGAGAGCAACACATTATACGACAACTGATGCAGTTTCGGAGCACAACACTAAACATTCAATCCATTTGTTTAAATCAATTCATTTATGACATACTTTAGATGGGCTTTATACCAGGCTAATTTTTATATTATAAAATTATAGAAACCCAGAAAACTATTATAACTGTATTTGTACTTTCATAAATTTATCCATCTTTATAAGTACTGTATGTGCAAACCTTTTATATGAGTTTTAATTAAGTTATAAATCACATTATTGCTTAACTCTTAAAGTAAGAATATAATACAAACTTTGTTATTAGTTAGAATACCTGCCAATTGTAGGTCCAATAAAAATTGAACAATTATTACAGTCATCAATGGTTATAGTATTGATATAATCAAAGAGTCCAATATTGGCAAACTCGCAATTTTCCACAATAAACTGTTGTCCAGCAATGTCTCCAGGTCTTTTTATGACACTATCATATTTGACATTCGCTATCGTATAGTCTTTTGGATCCACTTTGTCTTTATCGGACCTAAACATTAATATGAGATTAACATAACTTCATAAATAGAGGAATGCATACCAAGAATAGTGGTTGTTATCGACTACAATAGGTTTGGCTTTTGAGTTGAGGCAACCCATCCTTCAATGGTTTCACGATTTTTATTTCAATTTGAAGTTTATATTTAAATTCCATATAAATTTGTAGTTTGAAAGTTGGATAAAAACTGTTGATTTCTAAATTAATGTTTAAATAAATGACAAATGTTTTCTATGAATAATTTCCTTACAAATCAAAATTGTTATAAAATAGCCATTTTTCAAACAATGATATAATAATTGGATAATTGTGCCAATAATGCTATCAATTATCCCATGAATCTATAGTTTTATGCATTTTCAAATAAATATTAAAATACTCTAGTAAATGACTTTCTATTATTAACACAGAATATAATAGT